TAATAAAATTGAATGAGAAATAGACAACTTTTTTGCTGAGTGACACAGAAATCCACAGTCGCCCGTTTCACTGTAATACACCCATCAAATACCCAGTTACAGCTGCGTTATATCAGACTTCTATGGAAACTTCTGATAAATTTCTCTCCCTTACTTCCCTCCCCAGGCAGGACACCCGAATTCTTGGTACTTGGCACAGCCATCCAGCTGGGTCTTAGGTGTCTCCGAAGATTTGTGCTTTTGGGCAAAAATCTTACTCAAGGAACAAACCCAAAACATCCCATAAAGAACCAAAGAGCTGAGATGGCGCCTCCCCGTGCCCTTACAGCAAGCCCACCTCCCTAACCACACAAGCACACAGGTGTCCACCCTGCCGACGGCCGGCAGCTGCCCAGGTAAGCGCAGAGCCCGGTCCGGGCGGCGCACCCACCTGACCAGGGGCTCCTTCTCAGGCAGAGTGCGCTCCTCCAGACACTTGCACCGGCAGCAGCACAGGTTCCTCAGCCAGTCCCTCAGCCCCATGGAGAGCGAGGGCCCCCAGCGGCGCCGGGAGCCTGGAAGCGAGTCGCCGCGGCGGGAGATCGAGGCTGAGGAGCGGCCACGGGCCGGCGTCCAGGTGCGGGGACAGCGGCGGCCCGGGCGTGGCGGGCCGATCAGCGCGCATCACGCCGCGGCCGGGGACGCGGGCGAGGGCTGCAGGCCGCGCGCCCTCCTCTGCTTGCGTTTTGTTTGGGGCGTGAGTTTTCTTGGGGCTTTTTTTTCCCTCTTTTAATTCCCCGACCGCAATTTGGGGCGCATGCGTCCCCGAGACGCCCCGCTGTCGCCCTCTAAGGGGGAAGCAGGGACTCCAGCCAGTCCGCAAAATCCCAGGGCACCGACGGCAGTCAGCCCGGCTGGGGAAGGGCGGGGAGGGGAAAGCCCTGGAGCCACAGAGCACGAGGTTGGGCTGAATCTATTCATACCTTTTATTGGCTTCACTGCTCGAGGAAATTAAAGATCCTCCCTCAACCCCACACTCCTTCAAAGCAGAGTTTGGGGCATGTTTTTGACGTCAGCCACACACAGAGTAAAAGTTAGCAAAAGATCGTGGATTGAGGCATATAGACGTAGGTTGTTTTTTTTTTAAAGTAATATACTCACGATGATTTGAAAACTTGTTTTCAAACCTCCTGTCCTTAAATAGCCCCTATACTTGAGGCAACCACTTGAGAGTTTCCAGAGCTGTTTATTTATATATAGTGTATTTATTTGTGCTTGTACAAACTTGTTAATATATGCGCATATCCTCCTCCCTTTGACCCAAACAGCGGCACACTTCACACATTTCTGCACCTGGCTTGTTCAGTTCAGCGTATCATGGAGGCTGCCCCACGTCCGCGCGTGGATATCCTCCTCTCATTTTAACAGTTGTAAGCTAAGCCGTTTTAAGGATGCCCACGTGTTAATTACCCAGACCCCTATTGATGGACATATGGGTGGATTCCAGCTTTCATTATTAAGATAATGCTTCAGTGAACATTCTTGAACCAATCCAACGTATTTGCACACATCTGCAAGAATATCTATTGAATAAATATTTGGCAGTTGAATTGCTGGGTCGTTGGTAAGATGCCTTTTTAATTTTGATGGATCTTTTTGCCAAATTGCTCCCCAAAGAAAGAATCCGAATTTGTACTCTGACCAGCAACATATGAAAGTATCTACTTTCCTATGCCCTCGCCAAATACAAGGTACAATCCAAAGTTTTGTCTTTTCCAGTCTAATTTAGTCAACAAATATTTATTGAGCATCTCATCTGTTAGGTGCCAGGCATTTTCTAAGAGCTGAGAATGCAACAGTGAATGAAACAAATACAAATCTTTACTCTCATGGAGCATACATTCTAGTGGAGAAGTCAGACAAATAAAACATAATTTAGTATGTTAGGAGCTGATATGGACGATGGAGAAAAATAAGGCAGGGAAGGGAATAAGAAGTGCCAGGGAGAGCCAGGTGTGTGTGTGTGTGCACGAGTGTGCACTGGGGTCGAGGGAAGTGGTGCCTGCACTTTTAAATAAGGTGATCAGGGAAGGCCTTGCTGAGACTGTAACATGTAAGCAAAAACTTGAAGGAGGTGAGCAAGCTAGCCATGGTACCACCAGGAAGAGTATTTCAGGCAGAGTGAACACTGTGGGGAAAACCCCAGAGGAGAGAAAATAAACTATAGTGTTCCCGTATGGACTCCAGGGGCCCTAGAGAGAAGGGGGCCCTGAAAGAGGAAGAGTCATAGGAGATAGTGGAAGGTGGGATGTTGTAGGATGTTGATTGCAAGGACTCTAGATTTTGCTCCACATGAGCTGAGTAAATCTTCGGAGGTTTTTGAGTAGAGAGAATGATATGGTCTGACCGAGATGGTAACAGACTCCACTGGCTGCTGTCTTGAGAAAAACCTAAGTGTCAAGGATATGAAAATGGAGGCCATTCTAATGGTCTAGGTGACAGATGACAGTGACTTAGACCAGGGTGGTAGGTGGTAGCAGTTGAGATGGTAAGGAACGGGTAGACTCTGGATGGAATTTGAAGGTAGAGCCAACAAGATATGCTGGAGGATTATAAGTAGGGTGTGAAAAGAAAGAAAAAAGTGAGTCCCAAGTTTTAGATTTATAAACATGGAGGCTGAGTCTCCACTGGCTGAGATAAAGGAGTGTGGGAGGAGCCAGCTTGGAGAGGGAGGAGGAGGAGCAAGAGCTTATGAAAGTGTCGATACTCATGGGTTGTGTATGATTTTTAAAAGTGTCTTACTACACATAGGTCTGTTCTGTTCCAGCTACAGTGTGAGGCTGAAGGGACTTATCAAGTACATATTCATTGAGAGGCTACTAAGGGATAAGAAAAAAGAACAGAAGGTCCCTGCAGCCTCTGGCTTAGCTGGGGAGACAGGATATGGACCCATCATAAAACATTAACAGGATGTGACAGAGTACCAGCTGTCACCAGACAGCACAGGACTGTGGTGTCAAGCCCACACTATGCCACTTATCACTTGCACCTGGTGCCAGGATGGAGGCTGAGCGTGGTTTTAGAAACCACACTTCCTACTGGCTGAAAAATCCCCTGATAAAAATGACTATATTCTGAAATTGGATTTTGGATTTTGAGATAACCCACCTAGGCTCAAGTAGAAAGTGGGTAAAGGAGGTTCCCAAAATGTGAACTCAGCTAGCAAGAAAATGAAATCTAGAGACTGACAGCTACTAGTAACTATTGGAGTTGGATTTGCTGAGAATGGAGAAATTGGAACAGTCAACTCCTGGAAAAGAGAGGTGCTGTGCCCCATTACTAACTCTTATTTTTAAACATATCACCTAATTTTATGAACCTCAGTTTTCTAATCTGTGAAATGGAGGTGACAAGTCTTACCCTATTCAACACAGTTATGAGACACAAATGAGATAGTTTTAAAACGTTTATCTCTGAAGAGATATCAGAATTCAATATTATTAATCAAATTCAATGGAGGCCCGTTGGGGGAAATGTCTGCTCTAGCACTACTCAGCTTGCATACGACATTTGTACCTCTGCAATATGCAGGCATCTTTTATGTTGTTTGTTTCAGACAGGATATTTACAGAAAGCCAAAGAACCACCTCTATTTAACAGACTTGATCAAGAGGTTAATGTCCTGCCTTACTATAGATCATATCTAATGTCTGCCAACTCTTAACAGTTTCTAACATTTTTTTAAGATTAATTTTAAGTTGTAAAACTTCTAAATGAAATAGTCCTCTAAAATGTTGGAATATTACAGTACAGATTTCCTCTATTGACTACCCACAATCCTAATCACCTTTCTACCTCCACCCCCCCCACATCACCCAGGGTAACCATTATTATCAATATGGTACAAACCTTTTTCTGGACACATAAACATGTATGTGTACTTGTGATGTACCATCATTGTGTGTGATGTTATTATCGGTAGTGAGTTTTGTTTTGTTTATCTAAAAGGCATGCATGCATCTATTTGCAAGCTTTTTATACTTAATAATATGTCTTGGAGAGCAATGCTTATTAGTACACATAATACTACCTCATTCTTATTAACTGATGTAAGTATTCTGTTTATTAGGCTTTTAAGGATTTTTATCTAAATGGTTTTCTTAGCATTCATCTTCCCAGAATTTGAATACCTTCATGATTTCCCTGTTGATAAATTATAAGTTTGATAGGAATTAAAACATGACCAAACTCTCCAGTTTCACATTCAGATGTGGTAGCTGAGATCACATTTTGGCAATCCCATTTCCTATTTCAGATATCATTCGCAAGGGAGCAGCACGCTTCCCCTTTTTTAGAGTGGTGCTAGATGGTTCCTGCTGCCTGAGTTGACGCCAACACCACCAACCACACGCAGCAGCATCTGACTTTTACCAAGAGCCCCAGGGCACCTGATGTCTAGGGAGTAAGCAGTCCCCTGGGGCACCTAGTGACTCACAGCCCTATCAGCTGCTTGTTTCCAAGGCAGACCTCCTGGCTCCTATTTTCAGATTTCCCCACAGCAGGGAAAACTCTAGAGTCTGGTTTGAAAACAACTAGCATCGTTTGGAGGCCCCTCTCTTTAAGAAATTTTTGATGACTTCTGAGAGTTGGAGGAAAAGACATAGGCAGGGAGGAAAAATTAGAAATTCAAAACGTTTAAGCTCCAGCTGGGCACGGTGGCTCATGCCTGTAATCCTAGCACTTTGGGAGGCCAAGGTGGGTAGATCACCTGAGGTCAGGAGTCCAAGACCAGCATGGCCAATATAGTGAAACCCTGACTTTACTAAAAATAAAAATAAAATAAAAATTAGCCAGAAGTGGTGGTGCATGCCTGTAATCCCAGCTACTCAGGAGGCTGAGGCAGGAGAATTGCTTGAACCCAGGAGACAGAGGTTGCAGTGAGCTGAGATCACACCACTG